GGCTCCTTAGTTAGGTATGGTGTTAGTATCCGAATCATCCTAATCTTGATCGCTCCTTACTTGACTTCGTTTTCCGTGTAGTCTCTACGGAAGTATCCCGACTTCCCGTATCGGAGATATACTTTATTATCATAACGCTTCTTGCGTTCTTCTAGGGAAAGGCCGTCATTAAACTTTCCTTAAGTCTTCTTGTCCTTAGGCCTATCTTGTACCTTGCCCGTCATAATCATGTCGCCGTCCTTATCGAACCTGCTGCGTAGCTTTCTCGTGTTGGCCATTATGGGCTAGAAGTCTCTTTTCTTCCATTACTATCTTTCCCATAGCCTGTGGTCGATCCTCGTAGCTAACTCTATCAATGCGTGTAGAGTTTCCGGCTTCTTATAGTGTATAAGCCCGTTCTTAACATTTTCCTTTAGACCATCTTTAAATACCGCTCGAAGTGCTGCGTCGTCCCAGTCTATCCTAGCCTAGAGTTATTTAAACTCCGCCGTGTAGTCGGACACTAACTTAGTCTGCTTCAGGCGAGTTATTGCTTTCTCTGCCTAGTCCTTTTCATCTATTTCCCTAAAGATGCGTCCTACTTCCTTCTTAAAGTTGTTCTAGCTACTAAAGATTTCTTTAGTATCAACCTTTGTGCCGTGGCTAGTGATATCCTTTAGGTAATCCTTAATATGTGGCTGCATCCACTTAGCTGCTCGTCCCTTCAGGTACGTGCTAGTCACTAGAATCTTATCCTAATCGTTGAGCACATCGTGGTACTCGTTGTATAGGTCGATGTTGGTGAGGAACGTCCATAGTTCGTGAGGACTTCCGTCAAACTTCTCTAGTAGTGCCATCTTGGGTTTCGATATAGACTTCCTCTTATTAGGTGTAGCTATTAGCTAACTTAGGAGTTGGTTGATTGTATCCTGCAACCCTACTATCTGTCTAGCCTAATTCTAGCTCTCGCTTCTAAGATTGATAAGCTCGTACTCAGCACTTCCTGCCTCTAGTACGCGGTTTCCCCCTTAAGTACTTCCCGTCATGTTAATGTCTCCCTCTAGTGTCGTGCTAGGAACATTAATATACTCGTTAGAGTTTCGTGACATAATGCTATCTTAGTATAAAGCGATT